ATCACCCGTTGGGGGAGATGGGCGGCATACAAGTTTGATAATAAATAAATAAAAATAAATAAATAAAGAGGGGAGAACGTGGTACCCTTATGGATTCCTCAGCTACTGCTGATCATCGCCTGTGGCAAATTCCAGATTTATTTTTCAATATAAAATTTCCATTACAAAAGTGACAATAAAACTTGTGATACAAAACCTTTCTGTCTCTTTAATTCTACCTAGAAGTATTTTTTATTCATGACAACAGACATGACTAAGGGAAAGAACATGCTGGGACTGAAATTTCAGAGCAACCTTCTTCACCCTGGCGATCTCCACATCAGGAGACGTAGCCCAGTACCCCTGGAGAACGCTATGCTAGAAAGGGCTGCTTAGGAATTTTCTTGCCTTTACTATGGAAGTCATTACTGCCCTCCAAGTCCATGTCATTACAACAAGCTGAGAAAATTGATATGTACTGTATATGATGGAAGAATGGGGAAGAAGGAATTGTACTTGTTTTGCTCCGAAAGAAGGGCTAGATTGCTTATTGTCATCTATCTGCTGTCCCTTCCTCCACCTATCCTTCTTCCCACCACTCCCATATAGATGTTTCTGACTTCAATGCAATAATAGTTGCTCTCATTTTCAATGGTATATCCTCTCTGAGATCATCTCCTTTCACTGTTCTTTCAACATCTTGTGAGTTAATTTATATGCTCCTAAGTTTGCTGCCATGGAATTTTTTATTAACAAAAGATTTTGAGAATATTCCATATAATCATATCATTGATATGAATCACAGAAAAGGTTTTGCCAGCACATTTTAATAGTTTAACCATTGGTTATTTAAAAACAGAATTGAGAAGCAGTAAATGGATAATTGCTTACATTTTTCCAGTGTTGATCTGCCAAAAAGCAAATCTAAACCCTTAAGCAAATTAAGGACATAAAGAAAACAGTATAAGACAGAGATTTTTTTTTTAATTAGCATGGAATAGAGCAGAAGCTAACTTGCCATAAGTTAAGACAATGGACATCCTTTCCTTAAAAAAAAATCATCTTCAGAACTCAGAACATACAAATTAAGCGCACTTACCTTTAGATTATCATATACTATACTTTCTGTATGTTGTAATTGTGAAAAATAGTAATGGGCCTTTATAAAATCATTCTGCAGAAGAAACAAAAATAATAATTAGCCATGCTTTAAAAATATTGCTTAACATTTTATTTAAACCTTGACAACTGGCTCTCACAATCTCTCAATAATAAATTGACCTATCATACTGTACATTGTTCTAAATCAGAACTGAGCAATAGATGGTGAATTCCCATCTTCTCTCAGTTAGCCACACTGACTAAGCTGCTGGGAGTTGGAGTTCAACCATGTCCAGAGGATCACTTTAACATTCATCACTGTTGTATGTTGCTCAACTCACTTTGAGTCCACCTCAAAACTGGCAAGCACCACCATTTTAAAATTATCTGAATTTTTTTTTCTCAGCACGAGTTTTGTTTCTGAAAATATCTTTTTAAAAAAACAGTCTAGGTGATCACAGTTGTCCATAAGGACGGACGAAGGAAGCAAATTGCAACATATACAAAATGACATCACTACCCAAATACCATTACTTTTATACTTGTTCCAGATGTTTGGAGTCATATATATAAAGACAACATTGGCATGATGTCGCTATATGTGTGCCATCATTTTGGCATCATCTATAACAGTGTTGTCCAAACTTGGCCACTTTAAGATGAGTGGACTTCAACTCTCAGAATTC